CTCTAACCTCAGGGAAAGGAGGAGAAAAAGGGCGGGGGTGGGGGAGCTTGGAGGGGGCAGCCAACAGGCAGTTCTCACTTCTCAGGTTCAGAAATGATTGCCTTTCTCTCCTCTCCCTGTGGGTGGGGAGGTGTGTTATGAGCTGGTGACTTCAGGCTGGGCCTGGCGATGGGAGGAGGCACAGAGTTGTCAGGAGCAACTTAGCGAGTCCTATGACACCCATCACAACTGTGCCCGGATCGATCCTCAGCCCGTCGGTGGGATTCACAGGGTCTGCATGGCCTGTGCCGGGGGCTGTGGGGTGGGGGGCTGCTGGACCCAAGAACCGGCATAGGGGGGAGAAGTAGTGGAAGCGCAGGGATGAAGGGAGAGGACACAGCAAATCCAGGCCTGCCGCACGCCGGGGTGAGCAGCAGAGGAGGGGCCCCACCAGCGCCCCCCGGAGGCCGGGGCTAGAAGCCATGGGCCTCCCATGAAAGCACATCCACATCCCTGGTACCAGGGACAGGGTTTGGCACTTGCCAGGCTCTGGGATCGCTTCATCTAGTGGTGAAACACAATGGAGAAATGCTGAGTTTGGGGCCAGACAGGTCAGGGTGCAAATCCAAACGTGGTCACGTGTTGACCAAATGACCTTGAATGAGTCCTTAATCTTGCTTAGCTTTATCTAGTTTCATCTTCCTTGATCATCCTTGTGGGTTAAAGACCTCCCCTATGAGGTCTTCAGGATAGTTATGGTGAAGTTATGGGAGCTCTGTACGTGTTACCACAGTGCACACGCGAGCACTTTCTCCGTGTAGTAAAGAAAATGTATGGCTTGAACAGAAATCATGGTCTTAAATGGGGTCTCTCTTGCTCTTGCTCTCTCTCTCTGTCTTTCAACTGAAGATTCATGCCAGTGTCTGGAACCTACTCTAATTCCCCTGCACATCTTCTTAGTGTATTAGCTTGGATAGAAAAATTACAGTAAATGATTAGAATGAGACTAACCTGAGTTTTGAAAAGCACTTCATAGTTGGCAATATTTTTATGTACACTCTCACTTGATAGACAAGGAGTCTTGTTGGGATGAAAAACACAAAACAGGTGGTGGTAAGCAAATAGCTGTCCTGGCAACCCCACCTGTCCAGGAGTGTGCCTCTGGCATGGGGTGTCTCCCCCATGTTGGTGCAGTGTGCCAATAGCACTCGGTGCCCTTTGGAAATGCTGGTGTGAACATTAGTAAAGTGTTTCTTTAAAAAGAACGGAATTCCGGGGCGTCTGGGTGGCACAGTTGTGTCTGACTCTTGGTTTCAGCTCGGGTTGTGATCTCAGGATCATGAAATCAAGCCCCTCGTCAGGCTCCAAGCTCAGCACAGAGTCTGCTTGAGACTGTCTCCCTCTCCCTCTGCCCCTCCCTTTCTCTCTGTCTCTCTCTCGGTCTCTCTTTAAAATAAAGAAATAGAGACGCCTGGGTGGGTAACCAGTTAAGCCTCTGCCTTCAGCCCAGGGCGTGATCCTGGAGACTGCAGGATCAAGTCCTGCATCGGGCTCTCTGCATGGAGCCTGCTTCTCCCTCTGCCTCTGCCTGTCTCTGCCTCTCTCTCTCTCTCTCTCTCTCTCTCTCTCATTAATAAATAAATAAAATCTTTTAAAAAAATAAATCTTTTTTAAAAAGAGGGAATTCTATAGTGATTACCAGTCCCCTAAAACTCCATAGTGAAGCCTGTGCACTTGAGCTATTGTTACAGTTTTCTGACTTATACCTGCCTCCTTAAGAAGGATTTGGCATGACTTATCAAAGGAAAAAAACAGCTATATACATGCGTTTATTTGTACACACATACACACTTACCCGCACATATATACATGCATACACTAACATATGCACATGCATACATATACAGTTGACAGTGCAATAAAATAAATGGATGAAGAAATCAAGGTAAAAGGGAAGAAGAAATGGTAAAAATCATATTACTCTAAGGACTAGGCCATAGCACCTAGAGCACATGCTACAGATAGGGAAATACTGTTGTTAAACTATTGAGGGATGGAGAACTGGGCTTTATTTACACATTCTTGCAAAGACATTCTTTTATTTCACCCCCAAATCCCATGTCCAGAGTGGCCTAGACACACTCCTAGACATCAATATCACAAATCCCCTGCGTGGCAGTGTCTCTCCTCGAATCACTGTTTTACACTGAATTTGTTTCCTGGCATGAAGCCCACTCTACCTTTAAGGCTGGTGCCTGCAGCATTTTTCACCTGGGGCTTTCCTAGCCCAGCTATCAGACAGCATCCTGGTCTGGAAAAGCAATCTGCCTCAGCCTAGGAACAAGACCAGGCTCCGCATCTTTGGACATTTTGGACAAGCAGAAGAGTTATTTGCCCAGTGAAATATAGTTGTTCAGAAGTTCCTAACTCTGGGGCTGCCTGGGTAGCTCAGTCGGTTAAGCATCTGCCTTTGGCTCATGTCAGGATCTTGGGGTTTGGGGATGGAGCCCCACATCAGGGAGTCTGCTTCTTCCTCTCCCTCTGCGCCCCCCATTTGTGCTTTCTCTCTCTCTGTCAAGTAAATAAATAAATAAATCTTAAAAAAAAAAAAAAGTTCCTGTGTTGTGTGCTTACGGTCTTGAGTGCTTCGATCCATGACGTGGACTAGCATTGTGCTGCCTCGGGATGCCAGAAAGACAGCACACTGTAAGCTACAGAGAAACCAGTGCCTCCCGTTGACAAGCCACCTGGTGCATTTTTCTTTTCTTTTAATGTAGGAAGATAACTTATTATGCCAACAGATTCTTTTCTTTAAAATATTTTATTTATTTATTCATGAGAGACACACACATACACAGAGGCAGAGAGAGACATAGGCAGAGGGAGAAGCAGGCTCTCCATGTCAGGAGCCCAATGCAGGACTCAATCCCAGAACCCCGGGATCACACCCTGAGCTGAAGGCAGATGCTCAACCACTGAGTCACCCAGGCGTCCCGCCAACAGATTCTTAAAAACAGGTTCACTACTAAGGATAATGGGAAATGACATTGTATGGTTTTACCACTTAATAACAAATCCTAATTCAGCAGCCTCATTCTTTATTTACTGGTGTGGATAGGAGCTCCGGGGTTTGCACTCCACCTCTGGTACTTAGTAGCCTCATGAACTTGGGCAGGCCTGCCTGAGCCTAGATTTTTCTCATCTGAAAAATGGAGTAATAATAATACCCACATAATGGAGCAAATGCGAAGATTAAATGAGAGGATGTGTATCAAGTATTTAGCCATGTGTGGCATTCAATAAACGTTAGCTGTTATTATTCATATTATTAATTTTGTGATGACAATGGTGATGACAATACTCTATAGCAAAAGTTCTTGACCAGGGATGATTTTGCATCTTTGGGGACATTTTCAAAGTCCTGAGACATTTTTGGTTGTCCTAACTGGGAAGGAGGGTGTTCCCAGCACATAGTGGGGAGAGGCCAGGATGCTGCTAAATATCCTGCAATGCAGAGGAAAGCCCACACGATGAAATGATCCAACCCAAATGTCAACAATGCTGAGATTGAGAAACCCAGCATTTTAAAGTATAAAAAAGTCTCATTCAGAATGAAATACTTGGTTTTGAGGAAGTTGATTGTATCAGCTACAGAGATCACCCCTTAAATTAAAAAAAAAAAAAAAACTGTTGGCAGTGTGCTAACTGGCTGCGTAATTTGACATAGTTGGCTCAAGCCTCAGTGTTGTCATCTGTAAAATGGCCAGTTTGTACTAGCTGATTTTTAAGTGTCCTTCCGGCTCTGACCCTCTCCGTGATTCTAATTTTCCATAACCTTCTTTTGTGCCCCAAGGAAGTTAGGGCCGAGCAGAACCCTGCTTGCTACATTCTGGATAAATAAGCGCACAATAGAATTCCTTTGGGAAATAAATCATCTTTTCATATAAAATCTTCTGAAGACCATTTCGAGAAGAGTAATAGATCTGCCAGTCCAACACCTGGAGGGTGGGTAATAATTTACTTAGCCCACTGACTTGGAGGCAGGTCCTGTTCTTGATAAATGGCCCAATTAAGCATCTGTTAATCACAGCATTATCTCATAGGAAGGTGGAATACCTACTTCTCTCGAGCAGTTTCTCAGTGAGATAACATCACACATTCCCTAAGCCACGAAGGGCATTTAAGAGCTGAGGGAAGTGTGGGGGGAACGGTGCCCCTCTCTCAGGGCTTCGGCCCCAACGGCTGCTGGGAATATCCTCCGTGTCCCATCCCAGCCCTTCCCCCATCAACCTTCCTATAACCTCAGCTCCTGAACTCTCCTGTTCGTCTGAGGCCTTGATAATAAAGCAACATCTGCAAAACCTACAAGAACCTTACTGCAGTTAATTGAGTAATTGAAGCAAGATGCAGGGCGAGGTGATCTATGGAGCTGGGTTGAGGTCTGGGAAGGGAGACAACGGATTTATTGCAAAGGCCGTGGGCGGCCTTGGGTCCAGGCCCTGGTTCACGGGAAGTTTGAGGTCACGCGGGATTAAAATATCTTTAAAAACAAATGGAATAATTTGACTGAAATATCAGGAACGCTGTGCCAGTTTATGCCAGGAGACCAGGTGTGATTTATTTACCTTGCGCCCAACACATTTTTTTGATATCTGCCCCATTAGTCGGAATTTATAGATTATTGAGCAAATAGATGGCCCTTGTCTGTGTCCGTCCGTCTGTCTCATCCTGATTGTTACATGAAGGCTGGCTTTTGTAGTTCCAGATAAGTAAAGATATGCCTTAAAGAGACTAGAGTTCCGGGAACTACCCAGGCGGGTAATCAGGGACAAAGATATTTACAATCGAGCAGTTTATTTGCTCAAAAGAGACTGATTAGAGCTAATAAGCAATTGGTGGTAATATCTTCTTGTAATCTGAATACATCCATAAATCTTTACATTTAAGCACAATTCACCACCTTGAAGTCATTGGGTTCGAAGCAATATATTTGCTAGCCTTGCAGATGCCAGATAGACACATTGTAGATGCATAAAATCACCCATGTGAGGGCCTGGCATGGGATCCGCCTGGCCACTAGCCCGAGCACACGCCCCCAGCACACGCCCCCAGCACACGGAGGATTGGCTTTTTGGAAGGTTATTGCTCCTTTTGTAGTTTCTCCACTGCTTTATTAAATCCCAAATTCCTTGCAAAACTGTACAATTTTAATAACTCAAATCGGTGTGGATCATAAAGCTGTCTAAATATACCTAGCGCCTTGGGTACCAGACAGATCTGCGGGTGATGATGTCACTGGACCTGATTAACCGGAACAGGTCACCCGACAAGATTTTATTACAAGTGTCATTTAGATTTCTGACAGCTTTACAAGGCTTAATGGCTTTTTATTAAATACATTGTGTTCAAGGAAGCTGACAGTTGGGGATGCCTTGTAAATACAATGCAATGGAATTTCCTTAGAAGCTGCGTGAGAGAAAGCAGAAGGAGCATGGGACATCCCTCCCTGTCCCTAGTCTCATTGCTCAGGAGGCCCAGGGTTCATTGTCTCCTGAGGCTAAAGACAAATGACCCCCCTGACGCCACCCCCGCTAGCTCTCTCCGAACCCAGCAGATCTGCCCCAGGTCAGCCCAGATGTTTTCATCTGAAGCTCTCCAGAGAATCAAATTCCTTAGCCCAGAGGGTAACCCACTCCTGCTAGACACCCCCGCCCTCCCCAACCCTTCTCTTAAGCCAGGCTTCCTCTTAGGCATCAGTGAGGCTGGCCTGCCCCACATTCCCATTGTCCATGAGCAGTTAGCTCCGTTTTGTTTCTTCTCAGCCCTGTTGGATCCACTCGGTGGGGAGGCGGGAGGAAGGACAGACAGACTCACCATCCAGGACTCCCAGGTGCGGGGCGCTGCGCTTGGTGGGCTCGGTAAATCACCTCATCCAATCAGACAACCACCTCGCTGAGCAGGTGCTTTTACTCCCCTTTAACAAGTGAGGAATCCCCTTTAACAAGGGAGGAAATGCAGGTCCAGGAGGATCAAACAGAACGGGGGGAAGAGAAAGGAGCGTGAAGTATTTCTTATGTGCCCAGCTTTGATATGCTCTGGGTTATTTCTTACCCTACTATCTGAAGGAGGTACTATTTCCTGGCTTTTAAGATGAAGACGCTGAGGCTCACATGACTCCCCCTGCCCCCATCCCTCAGCCCAGATGAGGGCACGGTTACCACTAGAGACTCGCCACCACCTATTGGGCATCCTCTGTGCCAAGCGCTTTGCCAGCACAGCCTCATTGAGTCCTTGCACTGTCAGTATCATCCCCATCTCACAGGGCGCTTGAGGCCTGGGGAGTTCCAGTCACTGGCCCAAGCTCACGCAGTGCAATCAGGGACAGGGTCAGGATCCCAACCCAGGTAAACTGAGTCCAGAGCCTGCGTTCTCAATGCCTGCGCACCGACAAGTCCTGCCTTCCCCAGCTCACAGCGGATCAGGAAAGCACGTGAGCGCTGTGCATCCGTGTGTTAGGTGCTGCTTCCAAGGCACTTTGCATAGTCACCTCGCCCGATCTTCAGGACAGCATTCACAAGGGAGGAAATGACGAGCGTGACCTCCATTTTATAGACTGCATAGTCGAGGCGTGAAGAGGTGAAATATCCGGCCTGTGGGTTGCAAACTGCAGGACGCCAGTTGCTCTTCCTCTCCTCTGAGGCCAGGCCTCCCCGCACCTCCAGGCCTGCGGCTCCAGCTTGGGGCAGTGGGCTGATGGTAAGTGGACACAACCAGAAACCTCAGGGCAGACTTTGAGATCAAAAGACTGGCAGCCAGTGGGAGATGAGCACTGGCACTGACCATAGTAAGCTGGTAAAAACACTTCTCATTATCTGCGGATTCCGTGTTTGCCAATTCACCCACTCACTAAAATGTTTCTGTAACCCCAAATCAGTATTCGTCGTGCTTTTGCGGGCGTTTGCAGACGTGCGCAGGGTAGCAAAAATTTTGAGTCACTCAGCACGCACATTCACAAGTGTCCTTTGGGAGGTATATCTAGTGTCATATTTTTCATATTTCATACTTTTTGTTGGTGACATCACTGTTTAAAATAGCCCCCAAGCAGCGTAATACTGTCTGGTGTTTCTAAGCTGAATAGAGCTGTGATGCGTCTTATGGAGTATTAGATAAGCTTCATTCAGGCACGAGTTATATATTTTTAAAGATTTTATTTATTTATTCATGAGAGAGACACAGAGAGAGGCAGAGACATAGAGGGAGAAGTAGGGTCCCTGTGGGGAACCCGATGTGGGACTCGATCCCAGGACCCCGGAATCACAACCTGAGCCAAAGGCAGATGCCCAACCACTGAGCCACCCAGGTGTCCCCAGGCACGAGTTATAGTGGATATATTGGATATATATATGGATTTATGCATAAATAATCTTTAAACAGAAACATACACCAAGCAGGGTGATGTATTGATCAGCTGGCAACAACGTAAGAACCTGACAAGGAACCTAACCCTATACTTCCCCTAGGAGCAGCGTTTCCGTATTTAGGAATCCGTCGTCTGGATTCCGTATTTAGGAATCCGGCAACCTTATAGAACATAACAACCACGAATAACAAAAATCGACTGTACTTCCCAAGTTTCTCTCATGTATGCAGCCCTCTGCTTTTTGCTTTTGGGGGCAGAGGGACAAACCCTGTCCTCTGCTCTCTCAGGACTCATCATCACCACAGTGACAGATGCCCAAACACTGACAGTGTCTGAACCAGCCCAGGATCCAGGACCAAACCAGTGTGCACTCGCGCAGCAGAACTTCTCGGGCAGTGCTGTCTGTAGAAAAAAGAACAAGAGCCACGGATGTCGTTTTCAATCTTCTAGTGGCCACGTTTACAAAAAAGTAAAAAGAAGGGGCACCTGGTGGCTCAGTGGTTGAGCATCTGCCTTTGGCTCAGGTCGTGATTCCGGGATCCCGGGATGGAGTCCTGCATCAGGCTCCCTGCAAGGAGCCTGCTTCTCCCTCTGCCTATGTCTCTGCCTCTCTCTGTGTCTCTTATGAATAAATAAATAAAACTTTTTTAAGAAAGAAACCAGCATGCTGCAGTTTAATAATATATTTAACCCAATATATGTAAAATATTACCAACACACAATTAATATAAAAATATTAATGAAATGTTTTGCGTTCTCTTTTTTGCACCCCCTTTGAACTCCAGCACGTGTTTGGCACCCACAGCACATCTCAGTTACGACCAGCCACATTTCAAGTTCTCAGTAGCCACGTGAGAGCAGTGGCTGGTGTTTGGATATCGTGATTCTAAAGGGCAGGACGTGCCATCCCCAATTACACCCAGAAAAAAAGGATCTGTGCACAATGGGTGTTCAGCAAACTCCTTCCGTGACAGTTTGTAGTCAGAAGAGTTTGTAGATACGGCTCAAGCATGGGGGATCTTGGGCAGGTCACTTGATCTGTCCAAGCCTTGGGTATCTAGAAAAAGGGAGTGATGCTAACACCCCCTAATCTTCCTAGCGGAGAATAAGAGGAGACGACAGTGTACAGTGAGACCTCAGTAAACACTGGATGTCACTAATACTATATTTCTGTTACTGGAAGGGTGAACTCAGCAGTCTGTGTCCAGCCAAGTCCTACAGAGGCTCAGAAGATCCATGTATGCACTGGACCCAAAGTCCTAAATATTTAATACTGCATATGAAACTGAAATTCTGATGTTCCAGACCGAAGCAGCCAAACTGGAAACTCAGTAATATTCCACGAGCCACCCCCAGAAAGAATCAGGGGCTAGTCAGGAAATTATTTCCATTTAACAGGGGCGGGGGGAGGGTGCTGGGTCCCCAGGGACCCTGCTGTGTGCCCCTGCTCGGCAGCCACGCCGCCTCAGCCCAGTTTCATCTTTTCTGAAGCCAGGCTTTGCTCAGAGTTGGGAAGAGGAGCCAAGGGGACAAACAGATTTTTCTTCCCTTCCTATCGCCCCACAGCCTCCAGGCCTGGAGCCAGGCCACCGGGGTCTCTCTGTGTAACTTGCTCACTGTTTCTGATCTCTGGGGCTTGGGAGCATAATTTTATGTGAGGACTGGGTTTCTCAACTCCAACTGTGCATGGACTCCATTTAAAGGAAAAAATAATTCATACATTCTAGAGAGTTCAGCTCGGGCCCCCATCGGAGACACAACAAAATTGAAAGGCTTACTCTACAGCAAAGCATATTATCATTGCAACAAAGAACATGTGTTTAGATGTCGGTTTGAGAATTATTTTTATACTATCGAAATAAAATATGATTTTTAAAGTTTGTATGGGACTTACAGCTTCCCAAGATTAGGTCTTTAGACGGCAGTTTTGAGAAGTCACTGAGTTAGAGTGAACTGCTGTGTGGAGGTCATGTGGAAAAGGCCAGGGCAGCCTGGGGGAATGGCCCAAGCCACTCTGTCTCATCCATCATGTCACCTCCCAGCCTCAGGGAATGGACACCTGGCTTGGGCCCCTGTGCCCACCCCCAGCCTCTGGGTGGCAACTTGAAGCTAATTCCCACATCGCTAAATCCAGCCCCCTCACTTGGCAGGCCAGCACCTGTCCTCTTGCCTTTGGGGGTAGGGTAGAGTTTTCACCTTTGTTTCCTTTTTCCTCTGGATAAAAATCTCCATGGTGGCAGGTTAACCTTCAAACCAGAATTTTGGAAATATCCTATGTATTAAAGTTACAGAGTCCATTTAAAATTAATGGCAATTTGGGATCCCTGGGTGGCACAGCAGTTTGGCACCTGCCTTTGGCCCGGGGCGCGATCCTGGAGACCCGAGATCGAATCCCACGTCGGGCTCCTGGTGCATGGAGCCTGCTTCTCCCTCTGCCTATGTCTCTGCCTCTCTCTCTCTCTCTCTCTCTCTCTCTGTGTGACTATCATGAATAAATAAATAAATCTTAAAAAAATAAAATAAAATTAATGGCAATTTGCTTACAATACGTTTTCATACAACTTCTAAAATGGGCCCCATCTGCCCCAACTGTCTCCTTGGTGTGAGGCCCCCACAGCCACGTGGGAAAAGCAAGGCTTGTAATGAGCCAGAAGGAAGTGAGCACCCAACTCTGCTGCTGAGACTTGGGACGTCACGTAGAATCTGCAAGCCTCAGCTTAGTAAATCGTGGAGCACATCGGCCACCCCGGAGGGTGAGGGGTAAGTGACATAACCAGGTTATTTGTCCCTGGCACAATAACCACCTACCAAAGGACCCAGCGCAGAATGGAGGCTAAGTGTCCCCCCGTGGCTCCTAGAAATCAGGAGGGAGTCCCCTCTCTTTCTGGCTATCCCCAGGGCAAAGCAGCCTGTCTGGATAAAGCAGCACCGAAAAGGATGCCAAATGTCAACTTCTGAGAGAGGGTGGCGGACTGCTCCGATGTGTGCCAGCTGAGTGAGAAGCTACGCTCTCCGCACTTGTCTCAGGTCACATGTACCACCAGCCGTCCAACGTGGCAGCCTGCCGTGCCACCTCCGCAGAGCCACAGGGGCAGAGATGCAATGGGCCGCGTCTAGGCTGTCAACTCTTCGCATCTCCGGACTCAGTGGGCTCCTTCCGTTCACCTGGCCTCCGACGCTGCAAGAGAGGTGGTGAGGGGGGTGCGCTGGGTTAGGTAAACCTCCCTCCTCCTCTCCCAGGCTTAGGCACAGGCAGCCCTGCATTCAGTGCCTTCGAGAAGGTAGGTACGCGGGTGCAGCCGTGTGAGCAGCGCTGTCAGGTGGTGGAAGGCGCCCAGAAATCAGGAACAGACACTGCACAGAGGGGCCCTAACTTGTCAGAGGAGCCACCTCCTCCAGGAACCCCCAGGCCTGCTCATGTCACACTGAACGCCACTGCAGAGCCAGATGACTCTCCAGGCCCCCCTCCACGCCCCAGCCACCGCTGGATCTACCTGTCACGCTTTGATAATTCTCTGCTCTTCCACGAACCAACCATGAGACCTGCACTGATGATTTACTCTCTCTCATCTTCAGTTTTCCCATCCGTGCAAGTGAACGCGACGATGCCTGCTTCTCAGAGATGGGGGGATTACGTGAGCTAACGCGTGAAAGCATGCAACAGAGCCCATGCGTGCTAAGTGTGGATTAACTTTTTAAGATCAGGATTGCTAGATAATGTTCACATTTGACACCTTTTTTTAAAAGATTTTATTTATCTATGAGAGAGAGACACAGGCAGAGGGAGAAGCAGGCTCCATGCACGGAGCCCAATGTGGGACTCGATCCTGGGTCTCCAGGATCACGGCCTGGGCTGAAGGCGGCACTAAACCACTGAGCCACCCGGGCTGGCATTTGACATCTTTGTTGAAGGAAAGGGCCTAGCATCTCACTGGGTGTAGTGAGTACCTCTATCTCACCATATCCCGTGAGGGGGGAGAAATAGTCTCTAACACTCACTCAGGCCAAGACATCTTGATGCCTGCCAGAAGTTCCATGCCACCCGCCGTGGCTACCTGGTTGTGTGCGGAGCCTGCACGACTCTCCATGACTGCCCTGGGCCAGCTCTTATCTGAGACGTGTCTAGACTCCAAAGGAGGTTCTTCCCTCAATTTTTGGTCCTGAAAGCCATCCAACTCCCACAGTTAAAGTAAATCTTGGAGATCCCTGGGTGGCTCAGTGGTTTGGCGCCTGCCTTTGGCCCAGAGTGCAATCCTGGAGTCCTGAGATCGAGTCCTACGTCAGGCTCCAGGCATGGAGCCTGCTTCTCTCTCTCTCTCTCTCTCTCTCTCTCTCTCTCTCTCTCTGTCATGAATAAATAAATAAAATAATAAAATCTTAAAAAAAAAAGTAAAACTTACTAGGCTTGAGAGAGGAGCCCTCTCTTCCCTGTGACTGTCTGTAGTTTTCTGACTTTGCACCTCTGAGTAGAAGCCCCGTGGGTTCAGGCTCAGATGCCAGGAGGGCCCGGCTTTTTGTGGTTTGGGGAAGGCTCATCATGCCCTAGAGCCAGGCTTCCTGGCAGGATCTCCCCCATTCTCCCTGGCAACACACTTGCCCAGATTAGGTTTTACTGAGCCCCGAGTGCCCCCCTCGGCAGCACCCCCTGCTAATGTCAGACTGGTCTCCCTGCCTCTGTTCCTGCCCCCTCTCTGCTCCTCTTTCTACACTTGGCCTTCTACAATATCAATCTATGCACATCACCCACCCCTTCTTTTTTTTTTTTTTTAATTTTTTTTTTTTATTTATTTACGATAGTCATACAGAGAGAGAGAGAGGCAGAGACACAGGCAGAGGGAGAAGCAGGCTCCACGCACCAGGAGCCCGACGTGGGATTCGATCCTGGGTCTCCAGGATCGCGCCCTGGGCCAAAGGCAGGCGCCAAACCGCTGCGCCACCCAGGGATCCCTCACCCACCCCTTCTTAAAACCAGCTGATGGCTTCCACGACCCTCGGGTGGAATTCCTAACTCCTTCCCACGTTTCAGAAGGTTCTTCTGAGCTTGCCGCTGCTCTTCTGGCCATCGCCCCGCTAATTCCCACCCCAGCTTCAGTTCTCAGTCTAGGTGTCACTCCTGGGAAGTCTTCCCTGATGCACGTCCCACCGCTGTCTAGTCCTTATCCAAGCGTGTACCAAACCTCATGTGCTGAAATGGCCTGTGCACCTGTCTCTCTGAGAGGCTGAACCAACTTCCTCCTCTCCACTTCCCAGTGCCTGGAAAACTGTACAGAATTAATGAGTTCATAGATGTGGGATGACTACTTCTGGAGGCTCTACGCGAAGCTCTCTCAGCACCGGGGCAAGCAGCTCAGAGCTCCCCCCGAGGCCTGTGGCCCAGCAGAGGTCTGTGGTTTTACTGCTAATGGAAATTGGGCTGGCAGATCAAAGGCAATGACTCCTACGGTCCAGACTGCCAGCAGCCAGCACTATCGAAATATCAGTTGAATTGGTAATTCAAAATTAAGTGGGTTAATGATTGACACAGATTCGTAAAACCCGGCCCACCACCTCGCCTCTTGCACAGAGGGCCTTTCCTATTCTGGGTTGTCTGGGAGCACCAGCCTTCCAAACAGGAGTTCATTTAGTGCTAGCCCTGCATCCCCCGGACCACCACCCCCCCAGCTTTAAAGGGCCCCTGTTCTCAAAAAGCGCTGCACCAGTCCTGTGAGGTGTCTTAGAAAAGGCTTAGCACCTGAGATCCCCTTTCAGAAATAAAAACTCACAAATTTGAGCCAAGGGAGAAAAGCCTGGTACAACTTTGCACCTGTAACCCATGAGTCACTTGATTAGGAAAATACTCAGCAACAAGTTCATGATTCTTGGTGTGGGGTACAGGAAAGTGGGGAGGGGGGTGCATGTGGAGAGCAAGAAATACCTTCAGCTGCAACAGCTCCCAAATCCCAACCATGATCTAAGTACTCTGGGCCGGCCACGTTTTGGAAAATGTCTTTTCCCCTCCTGGTGCTGTATTGGGCTAATCTGAAGGCAGCACATGTACGTGAACAACCGCAGGAGGATTTCAAGGAGGCAGGCAGGGCTTTGTTCAGAAGCTGGGGAGGAGAATGCGATCCTGGGAGGGAGAGATGGGGGATGTGGGGTCCCACCTGTCTGATGAGGGAGACCCAGCCAGGAGCAACCCTCAGCAAAGCCTCTGGTGGACGTGGACTTGTAAATGCTCTGACAATGCATGGAGAATCTGTAAGAGAAAAAAGTCCTTTGTGATGGCCCCTCCCCCTGCTGGGGCCTGCTGACCATAGGGCAGAGTTCAAGTCCAGATAAGGCACACAACGCTGTGGGGTCTGGTCTATCCACACCTCCTGGCATGCTCATCAGCGTGATTCTGAGAAGGCTGACCCTGGCTAAGGATGCCTTAGGTGCCTAGGGCGGAGGGACATGTGTAGCCCTGGGGCCCAACTTTAGAGCCTCTATTTCTTCTCCAAAATAGGGCTGATCACCCCTTTCCTTCAGGTGAGGTGAGGATCCAGTAAGATCATTCACATCCAGCAGCTGGCCAAGTGCCCAGCACCACGGCTGTCCCCAGCTCTCCTGAGAGGCAAGCACAGCAGTTCTCAATGACTGTGACCCACACGGTCACCCGGGGTCACTCTAAGAATGCTTCCCAGTCCCCACACCCCCACCCACTGCTGTTTGTTTGTTTTAGGCCTTTCTGGAAAAGAGGCTGAGCACCTGGGAAGAGAAGAAGAAGGTGCTTTGTCACATGGGGTCTTGGACCAGGGGGACAGGAGGACAGGCGGGGTGGCTCCCTCCCAGATCTCTGTCTGACCCTCCCCCACTTCCCACCTGGGCTTGGATGGAGGAGACATAGGAGGGCCAGGGGGCCAGGGAAGGCCGAGGACCGAAGGCCACCTCCATTCTCCCCCTCACATCCTTTCGCCCACCTTCCCTTCGAGTTTGTTATGAGCAAGAGATCTTGGGCTGCATATTAATAAAACAATGGAATTTTTATTTCTTCTTCTCATAAATTACATAATTCAAACCTTAAAACACCTTTAATGAACAGTGACTGGCCATGTGACACTTAATAAAACTGGGCTCAGGTCAGTTTCTGCTTGACAGGCTACCAGCCGAGAATGTGCCTTACGAGTAAATGATTAAGAGGCGGGGATCTTTCCTGGGCTCTACTATTAAACACTTCAAAGGTTTCCAAAGTCAGATAAAATGAAAAGCAAATGTGTTTCACTGCCTCTCAAATGCCTCAAATGTTTTAGCAGGTGCAAGCAATGAAACCTTCCATGGTGACAGCATTTTAGGGTCTGCAAAGTGCACCCGACTGAATTCTGGGAATTCTGGACTGGCTTCATAAAAATTCATGATCCCCAATGAGGAGAGATGTTCGGTCTTCAGAGCCCATCTACATATGCGGCACAGAAGGAAAATATCTCAGGGTCCTCCAGGTCATGGGTCAGCTTAACCCTTTCTGCTCCAAGAGAGACCCCCACCTGCATCCCCAGCTGGAGTGGTCAGTCTTGTGCCAGCCAAACCGGGGGCAGGGGGGGGGATGGCAAATCTCTGGATTGGCCTAGACTTTCCAAAGGCACATTAGTGCTCAGGTTAAACCCAGGTCCTCTTTTTTTCTGGGCATGAGGACATTTTTTTATGTGGTCGAGGAATGCTTCACAGACTATGAGAGCCAGTGGACTTAGTACGGAGAGACGGTGGGATCTGTGCAAAATATTTCACCTCTCTGTAGCCTAGTTTCCTCATCTGTAAGATGGGGACAATCATAGCACCTACCTCACAGGGTTTGTGTGAGGATTAAATGGGTTAACGTCATAGAAGTGCTTAGATCACATAGCAGAATTCAGTACATGTTTGCGATTCTTATTGTCCCATTAGGGAAAATGAATACGAAAAGTTAGCGTTCTGCAGCTTGGCGATTTGAGCTTTTCATTTAAAATTTGCTGTAACTTAGCTTTATAAGTCATAGTAATCTCTCACATAGACTTGTAATATTTTATAGTTTACAAAGGACGTTCTGAGACGTTACCTCATTCCAACTTTTCAACGGTAAAGCCGTTAAGGCAGGGATGCTCTTCCATGGACCCAGGATGGATTTCCAGCTCTGCTCTGGCTCTCTTCCATAGAGTTGAACCCATCACCGCTCGGACCTCTGAATCTGTGAAATGGGTACAGAGAGGCTGCCTCCGAATCCCAACATATGCCACACTCTAGAACTGGCGCCACCAACATCCGCTGAGTGATCGGAGCTATTGGCTCCATTCTTATCCTATGGTTTTCTTATTTATGAGGAACTCAAATGCACTTCACGTATTATCTCCATAATCTTGCAAGCAGTTGTTTATGAGACCTCAACTTTTATTCTTCCCCTTTCATAATGAGGAGGGCAATGAAATGGCATTCCAAGAGTCAATGAGGGAGAACTCCTTAGTTCTTTCCTCAGGGAATAGCTGAGCAGAGATTGTTATCAGAGAACATTCTCCTGATTTCCTGGCAATACAAAATTACTCACCTCCCCCTCAACAATGCCCAATACTCAGGGCACATCTCCAAAAGACTTTGTAGGCTCGGGGTAATGTGAATTTGGGACACATCTTATGGCTCCTGCACCACACGATGGGTACCCCAAATGCACACTGTCATAAGCATCTCACTGACCAGCCCCAGCCCCCCGCCAGTCAGCACACAGTAGAGATGCCCTTGGACAAAATCACCATCAGTGTTTTGGCTCAGACATCTCTTCTCTCCTTTCCCAACAGAAAGCCTGCTGGAGCCAGCTTGGCCTCTACTCATTCTCCCCACACAACTCTCATTAACTATGCATCCACACCTGTCTCACCATCCGAGTTCAGGACATGATTTTAAGACGTATGTAAAGAAATAATTACCAGGATGTCCTTTGTAGTATTATTTTTAATAGTGGCAAATACAAAACATCTCCAGTGTTCAGCATTAATAAAACTTGGAGCAGCCATATGCTGAAGAACTAAGCAGGCATTTTAGATGAGGCTGGTAGTGACATAAAAAGAAATTCATGTGTCACTCTAAGTTACAAAAAACTATGTTGTAGTGCTGTATGTCTAGAACGATTCCTTGTGTGCCAGAAGTACAAAATTTTATATGTAAGTATCAAAAAATATGTATGCCTCTTTCTGAGAGCCTGTGAGGATACACATAAGTTGGTTAATCATGTTTACTACTCAGTAATATATTTCAATTTTTTTTTCAATTTTTATTGTCAGTACTGTGATTTCAGATTTAACGTTTTGTTCACTTTTCCTTTTGGTTGGTCCATCTGCATTTTCCAATTTCTCCACGTAAGACCTGATTTTTTTTTGTTATATATTTTTAAACGTTACTTTTAATTTAAAAAAAAAATACTTAGAGTTTCATACCTGAGAGTAGCTTTGGAATTCATCCAGTCTATTGGCCTTCGTTGCCAGGCCTAGAGAAGTGAGTTACTTCCATGAAGGTCCTCAAGCTATTTGGTGGCAAAGCCATGACCAGAGACCAGGTCCCCTAACTCATCCTCATTCCTTCCAAGAAGTCCCATGATGTCTCCAAGATTTTGATAAATATGGAGGGACCATTTCCATAAAGCCGTCCACACAGAACCACCTTCCCTCTCAGCGAAACTAAGCATTCCTCAATTGGCTTACAAGCAAACGTGCCTCGCGCTGGATCTGTCTCCACCCCTTACCCCCTGGGAATGGCACCAGTGGCAGGGTTACAAATCAGTGGCACATATCCGTGTATGTGCCAGGACCTGGGGTAAAGCGTTACGCCAGATTTCAACACATCATTCTTGTCCAAGCTTCCATTGTTTTCCCGAATGTGGGACCCTGCCCTGCCCTCAGCCTGCTCCACCCCTGCGCTCATCCTGGTCCAGCTACGTGGTTAATGAACAACGTGGCCAAATGAATGGGTGGAGATTGTATCAGCTTGTTTCAAACAAAGATTTTTCTTCCCTAAACCACCCTCAGCATTTATGGTTTTCCTTCTCATCCATCATGACTCATTCATTTGCTGATGCTAACATGGAAGGTGGTTGTTCCGTTCAATTGCAGTAATTTCCTCATCAAGGAGAAGAAAGAACCGATGTTCCAGGCAGTAACTTTAAGTGAGGCCGAATATCCCAGTGTGACCACAGCGGCAGGTGGGCGAAGGGAAGGATGGCTGGGCTGGAGCTGAGCTTCTGCCAAGACCTCCGAGAGCAAGTTCAAGCTGGTGCTAGCAGCATCTGCCCTCCCAGGGCGTGGTGCTTGCACCTTCACCTCCTCGTGGGGATCCCCAGCAGCCCTCTGCACCTGATCTGCTCAGCTTCCTTTGCAGTGGTGGGGGGGATCAAAAGGTGTGCAGAGAGGCTGGGTGAATTCTCAAGGTCACAGGCTAGTAAGGCCCCCCACCCCCTACTCCAGGATTTTTTTTCCCCCTTCTATTAGCCTCAGGGAGAATTTGAATAGTTGTGGGACTCACTGCTGACTATCTACAGGAGGCAGAAGGAACACTCTGACCCATTTAGGAATGAGGGCAGAAAAATTAAATCACTGAAAATGTCCCAACCTCAGAAGCTCCAAGCTCGGGGCTTGTACCACAGGCATCACTTGTCTCCCTTCTCCTGTATTCTTCCTTTTAAGCCTCAAATGATCCTAAAGTCTCAGAATTTTCCCTCCTGGGAATCTGTTCTATGGAAATAAAAGCACAGCTACCTAAAGATATGTGTCTACACATGAACGCATTAAGGATCTTTAGCACAGTATTGTTCCTTGCAGCCAAAAATAAAAATTAAAAATCAAATGAACTCTCATGCATAGAAGAATGGCCAAACAAATAAAGGTTCATGCCCACTCTGGGTGAACAAGAGCTTCGTTGTCAGATTTGGGAAGGCAGATTTCCATGAGACAGGGGTGAGAGAGAAAAGCAGGTGGCAGGCAGTCATATATATGCATACTTCGTACCTGTGTTTATGTTTACATGTCTTTGTATGATTCTGTGAGCACTGAGAAAATATAGAGGGACACAAAACAGGCTGCCAGCACAAGTTGGCGGTGGAGGGATTGACAGGAGAAGCAAGTAGAAAAGAAAGTCTGCACTGAAAACCATCATATGTAATAAGATCTTAAATGTTGGGGCACCTGGGTGGCTCAGCGGTTGAGTATCTGCCTTTGGCTCAGGCCGTGATTCTGGTGTCCTGGGATCGAGTCCCACATCAGGCTCCCCGCAGGCAGCCTGCTTCTCCCTCTGCTTGTGTCTCTGCCTCTCTCTGTGTGCCTGTCATGAATAAATAAATAAAATCTTTGCAAAAAATAAGATCTTAAATGTGTGAGCTATACGTGTGTGGGTGCAGATAAACTTAAAAAAAAAAAACAAAAAGATTGAGGTACATTCAGATTCGCTGACTTGTAAAGCCATCAGGTATTCAAAGCAAGACAGGTTGAGAAAAATTTGTAAGGTAGGAGTCCATTTCCATGAAAACAACAAATATGACTCCTCAGTGTGTTCACATGTGTTGGGGATGGGTGTGCGAGGAGACTAGTGTGGAAGGCCTCATGCCCATGAACACTGGCTACTGGCAGAGGATGGTGTGGGAACAGGTGGCCAAGATGGCTTTTCTTTTTTTGGCTTTGTCTTGTCTGATTTTAAATGTGTTTAAATTAAAAAAATTTTTTTTTGTATTCTGAAAAGTATTCAATTGACTGTTTTTAATGCTCCCATGTGCCTATTCTCTGATGGCCTTCCTTGACACATTAAGTGACTCTAACCCTCACAGTGGTGTTCTGAGCCTGTGATGGCTGTTCTTGCATGTGGGGAAGGCTTGGGACAGACAGGCACTGTCTGGGGATTCGGGGCTGGGTGGGTGGGACCCACCTCCAGCCACCTGGGATCACACTGTCACCCACCCAAGTATCACCCACCCAAACCTTAAGACTGTGGAAAGCTCAGTAGGAAGCACTACTTTCTGAGGAGGCAGATTTGGGGTCCTGAGGGAGTGACTTGGCTCACATTGTGGGGATTTTGGTCCCTACCAGCCAGCCTGGCTAATCATCATTATGTTAGATGCTATGCTGGTGAGAAAGCAGGCGAAGTACAGGGCTAACGTGAATTTTAGTTCCTGGGATGTCTTCATGTGGAGTAAAAAGCATGAGGTAGAGTTTTGTCAGACTGGACCCTAACGAGGACGGGAGAGGAGAAGGTGGAGGTTGGGCATCGAGGCCCATGAGCTTTGCCACAGGGGGTCGGTGGGAAGCCTTCCCAGGACTGCTGTGGAGATTGGGCAGGGTCATAGACTCAAGGTCAGGACTTGGGGCTCTGCTCAGGCAGCCTGTCGCCTAGCCGCCCCCTCGCCTGCCAAGGGTCCTCCGTGGCACACACCACTGTCCGACACGCTGCATGCTTTACTTATTCTACGGTCAGGTTTCCTTTACTGAATTGGAAGGTCTCTGTGGTCACAGCTTCTTGTCTGTTCTGTTCACTGCTATATTCTCGTGACCTAGAACAACACCCATGGAGCTGCCCGACAGTCACTCAACGTGTAAACAAATACACAGGGAATAAGTGAAGACCAGAAATTCGGTGAAAAATTGAAAATCAATGTTTAACAATGGAGGCAAGGAAGCAAATAGAGTGGGATGTATCTATTTGAAGGGATATTATGCAGCCATCAGAAACGCTTTGGCTCACGGACTATGCTCCAAACCATTCATAGAAATGACCTCTGAGGATGGGTTTAGCGGAGGTGTGGTACCTTTACCTTCTCCTATCAGGTCATTGTGAACTACCGTTTTACTTTGTATCTCATTTGTTAACTGGAAAAGAAAAACAAAAAATTATATTCCATGTAATATAGAAAAGGGTTTGGATTTTTATTTATTTATTCTTAAGAGACAGAGAGAGAGTGAAAAACAGACAGAGAGAGAGAGAGACAGATAGGCAGACAGACAGACAGAAGCAGGCCCCTCTCAAGGAGCAGGGAGCCCAATGTGGGACTCAATCCTAGGACCCCGTGATCATGACCTGAATAAAAGGCAGATGCTTCGCCGCTTAGCCACCCAGGGGCCCTAGAGAAGGGTTTGAAGGTTTTTGTAATACATGAAAAAATAAATGTGAAGCAGAGTTCAATTAAAAAAAAATCAATGTACAAACCTTTACATAGAAAAA